AGCCTGTGGACTGGATAGAGGAGAGGAGATGGATTCTGAAAAGAACTTCAAAGGGAGCCTAAAACTGACAGATGGTCACAAAGAAATGGTAAGGACCCAGGAAAGTGGCAGATTTGATTCATGATAGGAAGAACTTATCAAAAATGAGGTTCTTCTAGATACATAGGTTGCCCAACCTACTTGAGCAGCTAACCCTTTCCTGGAAAAAAATTTTTTTAATTGCTCAGTGTCCCGTTGGCAATTAAAACTATATGCCCAGAATCCAGGACAAAGTAGAAGTCTCTGCTTCTGCAGCCCCCTCTGGGTCCTTCCACCGCCGGCAGGGGGGGGTATTGCCCACTTTGGGAAACACCTTGGCCAAGAGCCTAAAAGTCAGACTCCTTAAAATATCCCAGAAGCACTTCCTACAGGGAAGTGAGGAACAGCAAGATGGGCAGGAGAAATAGCTCTCCATCCAGCAGAGGCCAATGGCAGGGCCCGAGCGCTCGGCCCCTCCCACTCCGAGCTCATGCACAGGCCAGTCCCCGGGCTGAAGGGGGACAGAGGTCCCGCAAATAGACGGATGGTCTGACTGAGAAGAGAGAGCGGGTGTCTTCACAACCACCTTCACACGAGCAACACCATTCCTTGTGAGCAGCAACAATGCAAACTGTGCAGAGGCTCTTGGGCACAGGGCAAGGCATTGCAAAGTTAACCGGGGACGCAGCTGCTCTAAAGCTACACTGGGCGTTAATCAAGTCAACCCCAGAGTAGCAGGAAGGCTTACATCAAGGGCCTTAAGTTGCCCCCAAGGCCCCGTTTGTACCTTGATTTAGTAATTCCCACCGATAACATCTGTTGTCCGCAACCCACCGAAGGCCCCAAGCTTTGTGATCTCTCCTCCTACCAGCTTACCTTTCGTAGCCCCTCAAGGAGAAAAGCCCCCCAGGAAGGAGACGGAGCTTTATTTTTGTCCCAGTTAAAGTCCCTAACCAGTCCATTAATAGCTAAGATGACCTTGGTTCAGGGCATTTCCTGGAGAAGCTAAACCAGCTGGGGTTAATGAACTCTCCCTACCATTAATTCCTGGGAGAGGCCATTGGCCTGAATTGTTACTTAATTACTCTTCTGTGTACAGCTTCATAAAGCAATGAAATGCCTTCTTTCAGGAAGAAAGGAGATGGTAATGGGGGTCATCAGAGGCCATTAATTTTGCAAATAGATTGTTAGAGACTCTAGTATGTTACGAAGTCACGCTGGCCCACAAATCAACGCAATGCAGGTCTTACGGTAGAGACCCCTAACTTCTGTGACTTACACACACGCCCAAAGTTACCACTCCCAGCCAGCTGGGATGCAGAGCAAACCTGTGGGACAGGCTGCCACTGCCCCTGGGGGCTTCCAAGACTGCTGACCTCTTCACAGGAATCAAAAGCCTCAGCTTGTCGCTGCGGGCGCCACCGAGTTTACATACCAGAGTACACAAAACATCCCTTACTTCTATTCTGCATTGGCTCTCCTCTTCCTCGCTACTTCTCTGTACGTTGGAGCCAGTTCAAGAGATCATGGTGGCCTTTTTCAAGTAAAAAAACAAAAATCTTTTAGGTGATTTCTCAGTCTTTTAGGGACTTTTCATCCTCTGAAGAACTCTCATCTTCCCCAGGATGTGGGAAAGCTTTTTTATCTGTGAAGCCTGTCGGGAGGCTCATACAGATTCTCCCCCAAACCTCTGTGCTCCTCGATTCGCCGGGACCTGGGCTTGCTCAGACGGTCTTCTCTAGCGGATGCTGATTCCCTTCTGGTCTCTCAAGCTGCACCCTGGTCCCTGCGGCTGATGACCGCAGACCCAGGCTCATCAACATGGCCCGAGGTCTTTGCTTGTTCACCGGGCCTCTGAGCACATCTGCACGCCAATGTTGGTCTTTGGGGCCTGTGGATACTCTGGGACTTCTTTTGCACCTCCTTGTTTCCCACTGCAATCAGGCCTCCCACTCCACACATACCACTGCATGTCCCCCTCCCCTAAGGTGACCAGACGTCCCGCTGTTAGCGGGACAGTCCGGATTTTTAACATTTTTCTTGCATCCCGCGGCGTTTTTAAAAAGTCCCGATTTTTGGAAAGAATGCACGACAAGCTAGGGTATATGGTTTTCGGCTGCCATGTGGCTATTTCGCCAGGATATGAGTTTTATCAATGGTGTCCCGCTTTACCAATGTTAAAATCTGGTCACCTTACACTCCCCCTTTCACTTGTTTCTTCCTAGCATTCTCCTCTTTCATCACCTCTCACTGCCATCAAGTCCACGCGACTCATAGCAACGCCACAGGACAGGGTGGAACCGCCCCCAGGAGTCCCTGAGTCTCTGTTTACAGGACTAGAAAGCCTCATCTTTTTCCCACAGAGCAGCTGGTGGTTTCAAACTGCTGACTTTGGGGATTACAGCCCAACTCATAACCACACCACCACCAGGCTTCCTTGATCATAGAAAATAAAGTGAATCTGCTTAGTCTTCTTTGTCCTTTTCTTACCTCCCCTGCCCTCGCCCTCCCTACTAGAATGTTAACTTCATGATGACAACGGATTCTGGCTGCTGTGCTGCCTCAGTTTCCCCAGTGCTTCAAAAACTGCACGGCACCTGTTGGTGCTCTATCCGTGTTCATTGACTGTATGAGTAGACAGTTGGCTATGGGACAGGATCAGACTGCTGGCCACAGGACCTAGTGTTCCCGTATCAGTCATGCCTGAGCAGGAAGGAAGCCCAGAGGTGGAAGAGACAAGGGCCCTCCCTCCCCCACCAACCCAGATCCTGTCCAGAAATCAGGTCCAATGAACTACTGCTGCCAAAGGGCAGACTTGATCATGAAGCCCACATACCCATTTAGCTTGTGACTGCACAAATGGTGATACACTGTTGCCACCCACCCCCACCGGACAGGCTGCCTCAGACATCCTATGTCAACAATAGGGTCATGATGCATCACAAGGTTCTGAGATTCTATTGGCTGACTCCCGTGGGGAAAGCTTCGACTCTTCAGAAAGTAATTCACTAGGGCAGGATCGGGACCACCACACACTATCAGAAGGGAGGTAGAGTTTGTCCAAGAAATGGAGAAAAAAGAGGAAACTAAGGGGCAGAGAGAGCCAAACAGTTTAGTTTTGCTTGGGGTCTTTTCTGAGCCATATATAATATGGAGGAATCCCTGGGTGTCGAAAGAGTTAACACGCTCAGCTGCTAACCAGAAGGTCGGAGGTTCAAGGCCACCCAGAAAAGCCTCCCCACTCCGAGCTCATGCACAGGCCAGTCCCCGG